TCTGTGTGTGTCTGTCTCACTATGTCTCTGCCTCTGTCTCTGTCTCTCTGTCTGTCTGTGTGTGTCTGTCTCACTATGTCTCTGCCTCTGTCTCTCTGGATCTCTCCCTCCACCTCTCCTAGTACTCTGAGACAAGGTGCAACTTTCCCCTTCCTCTTCCTGAGCCTCTTCCTTGGTTCCTTAATTTCGTGAACTCACAGGCAGGGACCCAGGGCAAGGCGATGCCTTGTGGAAATGCCGTAGTCAGCAGGTGGCAGAACCTGGAACAGAACCAGAATTTATTATTTATTTATTAATGTAACTTTATTTCATGCTAGAGCCTCAGTTTCCCCATGTGTTAAATGGTGATAACCAGATGTGACCTGCAAGGTAGACCAGGGACCCAAAGAAACTGTATACCTGGAAGGACCTGGCTGGGAGCCTTGTGCCCCGAACTTCCTCCCATGCCCCTCCCTGATGGGGCTGCTACTGCAATGCCTGCCTCTCACTGGTTCTCAGTAGGATTACGCTTCCGCTTACTCCAGGGGGTGGGTCTGGAGATAAATGAGGTGTCTATCCCAGCTTCCCCGGCCAGGTCCCTTCATGATACACCCCCGCAAAGGCCCTTAGGAATCTAGAGAGAAGCCAGGAACCCCTCATCAGATGGCGAGCAGGGCTCACTGCACCTGGCATGTGTGTTTGAGGTCACCCTGTGTCTCAGTCGGGGCGTGAAGCATGGGTTATTCTGGGGTAAGAGTAGACAGTGGAAGACCAGTGAGAGACTTCTGCATCATTCCAGGCAAGAGGGGCGGTGGCTGGGACCCGGATGGCAGTGTGTCAGGGACAGAAAGGACCACCCAGCAGCCCCGAGTAGGTCCTTGGTAATACCCGAGGCCAGCTGGGTTTGGATAGGGCATCAGCCATGCACTGAATCTTTACAAGTCAGGCTCAGCATTTCAGAGGGCACAGTAGTGGGGCCTAGAACGTGCATTTCGCAGGACGGTCAGGGACAGGTGTGTGGTTCACTCCTTCTGGCGGTGGCACCCAGTTTATGGTTCCTGTTCTTGATCCTGACTGGGTGCACAGAGCTGTGCCCTCTGACCCTGGCTTCTGGGCAAGCCCTGCTACACTCGCTACGCTGGCCCAGCCTTGGAGGCTGCTGGCTGAGCTTGGATGGTGCCTGAAGTCCTTCTCTTGCCTTGGAGACACAGTTCCAGAGTTCTGGTGGAAATGAGGCTGGGGTTGTTTTGCGGGCCTGGGGGGAGGCCCACTGTGCATATCATCCCACTAATCTTCCCACGCACCCTGTGATGCTCTCATTCTGTCCCCATATGAAAGATGAGTAACAAGGACACAGAGCTGGAATAACTAGTTCAAGGTACCCCACTCAGCAAGGGATAAGACCACGAGTGCTTTACTTGTGAGGCTGTGCTCTTCCCACTACCTGCTTCCTCGGCCCCTTGGCCCTCCCACACAGAGCCTGGGCATGGTGGTCAGAGGGTGGGCAGCCTATCTGCACCTGTGTCCCGGGCCCTGCTGGGACAGACTCCAGGGCAGGCCCTGAGTCCCCCTGATGTCCCGGGAGGGTGTCCAGTGGCCTTAGTGCGATCCCTACTTGTTCCACTGTCCAGCCACAGGAGCCTGTGTGGCGGGGGCCACCTTTGTGAGCCTGTGCTGTTTCCTGTCTGTCACACATGAGAACTATACCTTCCCACTTGCCACCTGGGCATGGCCAGCCAGTGAATGGCACATAGTGGGAGCTTCACAAATGTTCATTCCCTTCCCTTCCTTTCTTCCTCCAGAACAACAGAGGAGACAACTTTTCTGGACTGTTTCCCCCGGGGTCCTGAAGCTGAGAAAGCCCACCCCCGTCCCTGAGCTCACCTGAGATGCCTACCAGCAGGCCCTGGGAAGGCACCTGGCCCCACTGTCTCATTTTCCAGATGGGCAAATGGAAACCAGGAGGAGGAGGACTTGCCTAGGGGCCCACGAGGGGTCAGATCCTTTCCTGACCAGTCCTGCCCCACCCCCATGCCTCAGCATCATGTCTTTTTGTGGAGAGCCCCCAGAGCCCTGTCCAAGCCTCTGGGAACTTCAGAGTGCAGGGTAGGGGGGGATGCTGCGTCTCTTGGTTTTAGGGGGATGACAAGGGTTCTCTGCAGCCCCCACGCCCACCCACGCTCTCTGTGTTCTCCCCATCTCTCTGGGCAGGTATATCCGCACCATGTACCTGGGGATTCAGAGCCAGCGGCGGAAGGAACACCAGCGACGCTTCTACTGGGCTATGATGTACGAATATGCAGACGTCAACATGCTGCGCCTCCTGGAGACCTTCCTGGAGAGCGCGCCCCAACTGGTGCTACAGCTCTGCATCATGATCCAGAAGAACAGCGCCGAGACCCTGCCCTGTGAGTGCCTGCTGGCCGCGCTGCGCCACCCCGGTCTGCCCTACACCCGGGGACCACGGGTGCCTCCCACACGCTTCATGCCTGGCGTGTTCTGTGGGCATTGCCCATCCTGCTCTGAGTCCCCAGGATGCCCAGCCCCTAGTGCGGTGCTGACGGGGCCCACACCACACTCAAGAGCAGCACAGGCGTGTCCTGAATGTCTGTGGGCCAGCTCGGCACCCCCAGGCCACTTCATTCATGTGAGCAGAGCAGAGCCAGCTGGGACCCAGCAGGGTAGAGGGCCCTGGGTCTCCCCAGTGGGGGCAGTAGCCCCTGTCCTTGGGTGCTGATGAGAGCCAGGCATTTGCACATCTATGGGTGGGGGAGCCGCAGCCCAGAGACAGCATGGGACCACAGGGGCAGTCATGTTGGGCAGCACTAATGCCTTCAGACCCTTTAAACTGTAAACCAAGCTCATAAAGAAGCCCTGTTGGTAGAGCAGCTGAAGTAGCTCTGCTCCAGTTCCAGCAGGGGAGAGGGCCCAGGAGGAGGAAGGGCTGGAGGCAGCAACACATGGGGTGACGTTTGAAGGGATGTCGTGGGCAAGAAGGATCATCCCAAAGGGTAGAAGTTGCAGGGAGATGGTTATCTATTCAACAGGTGAGAGAGAGTACAGGGAGCCATGCATGAACTGTCTTGGGAGGTGCTGAGTTTATCATCACTAGGAGTATTCAAGGCAAGAAGTTGCTGAAGAGACCTAGCCTGGAAGCTCCTGACTGCAGAGCGCTCTGTGAGCATGTGTGATCTGGGTATCCAGGCAACCGTGGGGAGGGGTCTGCTGTCTGTGCCCCAGCTCTCCCTGGCCAGCAGGACCTCCTGGTCTCTTGGGTTCTCACCTCCAGACCCCTCAGGTCCTCTTGGTCCCCCAGCAGGCCCTCAGTGTCACCATGCTCATGGACACTCACACGGATCTCCTCACCAATGTGGTCTGGCAAGGGCAGCCACACCCCAGGCCTTTCTCTGATCAGATGTTCCTCCTTCCTTTTTCCAAGCTGGCCCTCTGTAGGCTCCAGTCCCCTTAGGTGCTTATGCAAAAAGGGGATTTAATCTTCAAAAGCCAGTGGAAGACCGAGCTGTCCAGGCTGGAAGCTGACCGGTTGCATTCAAAGCTTGAGGACCTGGTTCTGAACCCAGCTGTGTTGCTGACAGGCTCACCTGTCATAAGAACTCGGCTCAGGTGAAGCCTCATGTCCCATCTACTGAACCAGAACAGCCCTCAATGGAAGCTGCCTGGTGGGAAAAGGGGCCCTGGGGTATCTGTTCATCCCAGAGAGTTGCTGGCCACAGTCTTGCTGGACCATCACAGAAGCAAGGAGAAGGGGCCATGGGACACTTGGACTGGACACAGGGGAAGCCAGGCCTGAGACCCACCCTGAGCTGAGGGCCCAGTTCTACCCTTCGACAAGGCTTCAGGAAGCATGAGCTGCATGCTCCAGGCAGCCACAGCCTCTGTCCTCTGGGCACCCTCGGAAGCGGGAGGGATGTGAGGATCTTCAGCAGGTGCTGCCAGTGGGGTGGCACCAGCCAGCATCTGCCGTTGGGCATCTGTAGTCCTCACTGTCAGGAAGAGGCCCCAGGTGGCCCAGGGGCTCTAGCTTCTTGGAGTCACAGCCCAGCCAGTGCCTGCAGGACTGGCAACGGGGGCCTGGAGAGGAGAGCTGAAAGGAGCCAAGTCAATGTCCAGCTCCAGCTGGGACATGCGGAAGCTAAGCGAGAAGCCACTTGGAGGAGGTCAGGGCTGACCCCTCATCCAGTGCCTCCCTTCTTTCTTGGACACACCCATATGCACATATACTCTCTCCTGGGCACTGGGAAGAGCTTGGGAACACGGAGGAACCTTGCTGATACTCCATCTTCAGGATGCCTGAGGAGCCAGGCAGTATGCTTGGCAATGAACTGGTGTGACTGGTTGCCCACAGCTGTGGCCATGGGAGTCCCAGCCTCACAGGATCTCCAAGAAAAGACAGTGTGAGTGTGAACGGCAGGCAGCAGTTTGAACAACATCATTTGTTCTCAGCACCAAGAGACTCACGTGTGATTGATTCTGGAGCAAGACTGCATCATAGCATGTCTTTGAAGTGCACGTTCTTTCTCTACAAACCTAACCATCAAGGAGCTCTGCGGAAGTGAGCACTGACCCTGGGCAGCAGCACCTGGCGCCAAGATAAGCTGTCCACTGGCAGGGCAATGTCTGGTGCCCTGGTAGGACCTCCATATCCAACCTGCCCTCAGATCCCAGGGCTGATGCTTCCCAGCCCAGAGCAACAATGCTGCCATGGGCACATTTGCTGGCATTGGGGAGAGACACCTTTCTGTCACATCTGAGTCCTTCTTTCTCTCAAAGCCAACTCAGCTGCTGAGACTCCATCTTAGCCTGTTTGTGCTGCTATAACAAAATGCCTGAGAGTGAATAATTCATAAAGAGCAGAGATTTATTTTCTCCCAGTTCTGGAGGCTGGAAGGTCTAAGACCAAGGCACCTGCAGGTTCAGCTGCCTGATGAGGGCTGCATCCCTAGAAGGGAAGAACACTGTGTTCTTACATGGCAGAAGGCAGAAGGACAAGCTATCTGCATGCTGTATGAAGCCTCTTTTATAAGACCCTCAATTCCATTCACAAGAGAGAAGTCCTTAGGGCCTGATCACCTCTCAAAGGTCCCAATTCCTAATCCTATCACATTGGCAACATCTGAACTTTGGAGGGGACACCTTCAGACCATAGCAGACTCTGCTCATTTAAAAAGCTTTTTGCTGTTTCCGTTTCAAATCCTCCCCTCTCTGTACCACCAGGGCTGCCAAGTTATGCTTCATCTTTTCCTCTTTTCATATCTGGCCAGATCTTGACACCCCAAACAGATGGAGCAAGTGGCAGGGTGGTGTACAGGTGGGCTCCTGATGGGAAATTAGAAATCCAGGGACCTGGTCACCACTTATACCCTCTTATGATTTTGGACCTTCATCTTTTCACAACCCCATTTTCTCTTTTGTATACTGGAAGAAAGAAGAATAATATCTAATTTTCAGTGGGGAGGCAATGATATAACACCCAAGAGAGTACTTTATAAACTTTAAAACTCCATGGGCACCTAGGGGGCTGTGTTTATCATTTCCAGGGCCAGGTGGAGTCATCCTCTTACAGGGCTCGGATGGCTACCTCCCCATCATCAAGTCATCACCCACTGTGGGCCAGACCTGCTGGGGATGGGTTTGCAAAGATGCCTAACCTTCAGGAGTTTATGGGCTGGCAAGGGCCAGGTCCTAGGAAGATTTCTCCCCCTTTCTGGCCTTCTGTATCATCTGTGTCCCAGCTTCCTTGTTATGCTTGTCTTTTCTATAATAGTTTCTCAGATTATAAACCAAATCTCTGGAGTGGAAAGCCAGTGGGGAGTCCCAAGGGGCAGTGGATGTTGCTTCCTAGATGTCCTCTCATGTGGGAGCCTATTGGCCTCAGGGTCTGTGTAAGGCCAGGGGCCACTTGGGCATGCTGCCAAGAGCAGACCCCTTGGAAAGGGAGCCAGGAGTGACACAGTATCATGCTGCTCTTGGGCCTTCACCCTAGGGAAGCCCCTTCTGGCTCCTCCTCCCTGTATTCCCTACTTTTGTGCTGGAAGCTTGGAGGTCAGGTGAACATTTCCCCAAGTTTATCTGGAATGTGGAATGGGTGTTTCTCAATACAGCCTTTTATAGTTAAATATATTTGAGACCCGGCGGACTAAACAAAGGTCAGTGGCTATCCTTGCCATTGGGTGGTGGATCTGTAAGCCAGGGATGAGGCTTTAGCGTTAACTGGGTTTATGGGAGAGAAGGACACCAGCCATTGCTGAGCATGGGCTGCCTGAAAGAGGGTTGGCATTTCTCTCCTACTTAACTTCTAGAGTTGTGTTCTCATCACCAGACCATTTTGTTCTGCTAATAAATGCCATTCTCATCTTTCCAAGCTGCAGAAAATGTACAAGCTTTAAAGAAATAAGTTTAAGCATCAGAAATTGGAAGAGGGGAGAGAAAATTTGTGGACTTGGAAAGGACCTGTTGGTTGTATGGCCCGTGGGTATCTGGCGGGTTGCAGTGTGGAAAGGTGTTACTTGATAGCTCTTTGACCTTAGGGAAGTTACTGAGTCTTTCTGTTCCTCAGTTTTCTCATTTCTAAAATGGGGATAATGCTAGTATTTGTCATAGAGAGTTGTTATGACCATGAAACATTATGACAAATGTCAAGTGCCTTGCAGGATGTCTGGCTATTTTCTTGGTGGTGGTAGCATAGTGCTTTTATTGTAGATGCACCTTCTGAATTAACCTTCAGGCTTTACTGGTGAGATCTGTCGCTCACTGACCTTGCTTTATTGGGCTTTGTGATGACTCCTGTCTACTGTATATCGTTAGGGCTAGCAGATGGTTGGAAAGATCACTATGACTATCACTTTAACAGGTGAGTTTTGCATGGATTTGCCAGTGCCAGTCTCTTCCTCCCTTGCCATCTCTCCACTCTCTGGTTCTCTCTAATCACTGGGCTGACAGAACAATCTTCAGCCCGTAAGATACACTTGTATCCTGTTTCCCCATAAATACAGACTCAAGAGAAATAATAGTAATATACTATGCAATTATTATGCTGGAGCCATTTGAACATTCAGCACGGTCTTCCTTAAAAGTTTAAGTAAACAGAAGAACACAGAAATGACAGGAGCACATAATTCTGACATGTCACATTTACACTGGTGGTAGGTCTTGTGTCTGCTAAGGCTGCACTCGTGTTCTGGGTTGGGACAGGGTTGGAAAAGCCAACAGCAGGAAAAGTCAGACAGGGCTGCGTGCAGATTCCAGCTCCGCCACGTATTGACTTTACAGCACCGGGCAAGTTAATTTCCTGTTTCCTCACCTGTAAATTAGGAATAACAAGTACTTTTGGGGTTGCTGCAAAGGTCTGATGAGCGCCACATCCACCTCCACAGCATGTCGCCTGGCA